GTGCTATGTGCTTATTATTTCTGCTGCTTCCAACTTGAGGCGTAGCATGTGTTTTTGTGAAGAATGTTGGTACTTGATTATAATCATAGCTACATCTCTTTGATAAGCAATTTCACTTTGAAGAATAGGTGTAAGATTTTAGTGTTCTGAATGTAAATTGGATCAATCCCATCACAGAATATAGAGTATGTGAATGATGAATAGGGTTTATTACATCATGTTTACTAAAATACAGAAAACTTTTCCCAGCTATATTGATTTTATGCTTTAACTTGTTTAAGAATTTTTAAAAATAATTCTGTCTGTCTTGGTAATGCATGGACGAAGCTTTGTTCAGAATCTAGAAGACATTCAATGATTAATAAATATTTTTAGAATAAATGAGTACGCAATACACATCTGTGTGATGTATTAGAATGTTTCGCCTCAGAGCAAGTAGCTTCCTCCACAGAGTCTGTGGTTACATACATTAGGGATAGATAGTACATTTAAAGATGAAAGTAGCAAGTAAACTGCTGAGATAGGACTAGCCCACCAGATAGAAAACATCTTATAAAGCTGCCTTACTTAAAATCTTATATGGTAGATGCAGGTTTCCTTTTCTGAAATCTCAGGCAATCTGAATCACTTTCCTTGTGTGAGTGAAAGGTTAAGATTCACCTTCATTTTTTTCTGACTCCACAAAAAGAAATCCCTAGCACTTTGATATGCCTTTGTTTTCTTCTTATTATTTTAAGTATTTTTAGAGGAGTTAGGTTCATAGCAAAATTGAGAGGAAGGTACAGAATATTCTATGCATCTTTGATCCTCACACATCAATAGCCTCTCCCTTTGTCAGTATTGCCTAGCAGAGTAGTGTAGTTGTTACATTTGGTGCACCAACATTAACACACATTCACTACATCTCATAGTTTACATTAGGGTTTACTGTTGGTGTTGTACATATGTGGGACTGGAAAAATATATTATGACATGGATTATTCCCTTATCATTCAGAATATTTCTACTGCTCTAAACATGTCTTATTTCACTTTTTCCTGCATGAATCCTTTGTCAGCTCTGGATGTTTTACTGTCTCTCTATTTTTTTTTCTTTACAGTGTCTCTGTAAATTTCTTTTCTGTTTTATGGTCTCTTGTTTAGTTTTTTTCTTTACAGTGTTTCACATAGTTGAAATTATACGTGATATAGCAATTTCAGATAGCTTTCTTTAACTTAATGATACTCAATGAAGTTTCCTCTATGTCTTTGTGGCCTTTTTTGAGGCTAAGTAATATACTATTGCTTTGATGTACCACACTTTGCTACCTACTAAAAGAAATTGTTTGCCTCCAAGTTTCAACATTTAAAAATAAAGCGATTATAAACATCTGTGTGCAGGTTTTTGTGAGCACATAAAATTTAGGCAAGGAGTATGATTTCTGGATCATAAGAGCATGTTTATTTTTAGTTTTAATTTTTAAACATTTTAAATATTAACAAATACACAATGTATGTATGCATGATAAAAAGTTTAAGGTTAAACTTCTTTTAAAAATTATGATAGAAAAAGAGACTTCTATTAATCCTCTTCACAATAGAAGATACCCAGAACTGCTTTGTAAAGGTCTAGAATGATGGGATAAGTGTATTCATAGTGAGAGGGGGTATTTTGAGGGAAGTTAATGACAATGTGTATTTTAATGTAATAATTTAAAAAAATTTAAACATTTGCTGTGTTTTTCAATCACACCTCAAGTTCAAGGTATACAATGCGATAATTTGACCTACATATACATTGTTCAGTGATTATCACAATCTAATTAACCTGTGTATCACCACCCATGCTATACATTAGTTCAGCAGAACTTGTTCATCTCTATTTCCTGAGAGTAGTAGAGTATTTTGGATTTGGGGTTATATAATATTGGATTAATAACCTTAATCTTGTCTTTTAAAACAATTATTTGAGAAGCAACTTAATCTTTCTATTTCCACATTTATGTACTAAAGATAACAGTACCTCACAAGGCTTTTGGTAATGATTAAATCATATAATGAAAGAAGCATTCAATTATAGTTACAGATTGGAACTGGAAACAGATTTGGACAGAATCTTTTCTATGTTACTTAACAACTGAACAACCTTGTGCAAGCCAGGGTTGAATTTGGAGAGAAATGTGAGATCAAATTCATTACTTAAACAAGTTATAACAAATACTAAAAGTTTGAAAAAGAAAGGATGTTAGGGGCAAGGATAAATTTTTCAGAATTAATGAGTGAAGAGTCAAACCTAGGCTGTCTGTGAGACCTGGGCTCTTAATCCACAAATTTTATTGCTTCCCAAAACAAAGCCACCTATTAATATAATATAGAGTTAAACAAGTAACATTGGAAAAAATTTTTAAAGAAATAATGTTCTGTCAGCAAAGTATTAGGGAGGTATATATATAATGAACTGAGCCTTGAAAAGGAGAAATATTTTGTATGTTTTACGGCGTGGGATACTGAAAATGGAATACCCTGTTCATTGTCTGTCATGGAATTAATGCTATGAAAGCATACTGACTGAAAGAGTGTTTTACCATAGTGCCATATGAGATCAGATGACATAATTTATTTCATTTGATCTCAGAAAAATTCAGTACTATTCAGAAATATTAAAATTGTTTTAAAATTATCATGCCTCTTTATAGATGTGACAAGACTTTTGAAAACCTATATAGGATGTGAATAGGACTGTAGTTTAAACCAGAATCAAAGGGTCTGCATGTGTCTCTGATGTAAGAGAAGACACTGATTTGATTTAAGGTGAGTTTTAAGAACTTTTAAAGGTCAAGTGGGTAAATATTCAAAGGTTGAGATGGTTTGTGAAATGGCCTGGTGGAGCAGAAATTAGAGTGAACTTAATCCCACAATACAGGTTATTTTGCTCACAGGAGCACCTGTGATTCTGTGATTAAAATTCTAGAGACATTTTTTTTCTGTCTTCTTGAGACAGGGTCTCTCTATGCAGTTCAGGCTGGCCTTGAGTTCATTCTGTAGCTCAGGCTGGTCTCGAACTCTCAGCCATCCTCCTGCCTCAGCCTCCTGAGTGCTGGGATTACAAGTGTGAGCCACCATACCCGGCTCAACATATTAACTGTTCCATCATACATCTGATTTCATTTAAGCAACTAAACAATCATTTTATTGCCCTCAGAATCTCTTTTTAATAATTATAGCACATTGGTGGGTCATTTCCAAAAGATTGTAACTGGTTTAAGTTTTGTTATGGAATGTTGGAGTGCAAAGTTTGTACTAGGTTAGTAAGTCAAACAAAGACCTGGAAATGTGACAAATAAAGTAAGAAGAAATGAAGCTTTTGACCAGGTTTATAGTTGGGATTATGGAATCATCCAGAATTATATGCTGGACAAAGAAAAATAAGGTTCATTTGCCTTTTCTAAAATTACTTTTATGATTTTTAAAAACTTTGTAAAGGAAAAAGCAGTCTTTAACAGTAAAAATACAGGAAGGAAATAGAGACATAAAAGATCTTTCCTGGATTTTTCTGTTAGTTAAGGTTACGTTTCAGTCTATATAAATATAAATGTGTACATTGTAAATATAAATATGTAAATTTAGTCTATTTTATATTTTATAAAATATAGTTATTATAAAGTACAAATATTTCTAATTGTTTTACACTTTAAAGAACTGCCTTTCTGTATTTATTTTCCGTTTTTAAACTTGGCATTACAATTATAGCTTTTAAAATCATACTCTGACTACTTCTGATTCCAAAAATTTTCATCATATACTGTAGCACATGGATCAGTGTAAGATGCATACACATACATATTTTTATGTGTATTCCTTTAATATGCATATATAAAATCTTGCAAGATTATATATTATGAAGATCTTTTTTTTTTTTTTCGTCTTTTTCACTTTTATTGGTACCAGGGATCGAACTCACGACTGCCTGCTTGCAAGGCGGGCGCTTATGCTGCTGAGCTAAATCCCCAGCCCCCATTATGAAGATCTTTTAATGTTGTGTATGTGAGTTTATGAAAACTGCACTCTGAGTTTTAGACTATGATCATTATATGACTTCATTTTACATTAAGGGTTCTTTAGAGAACTTTTATTTTATACTATTTCTTCAATTATTATATTAGGTCTCACTTTGGAAAGGCTTCTTCTCTTAATGTATTTTCATAAAAGACCCTTAGAGCAGCATATATTTTCACTGTTTTCAAAAGCTATAGATTACCTTGACTATTTTATCTAAAGATTTATCTCTTTATATAACCCTAAAAATACCATATCAGGTTCCAGTGGCTGAAAGTTATAATAGATAAATAGAAAGATGAAGTTTTACTTTTTAAATGAATATTAAAGTTTTGTTTTTCTTTGATATTTTAGTGGTAAAACTAACTACAGTTTGTTATTTACAGTGATGTATAATGAAAATAATTTTGAATTAAATATTATAAGACCAGCTCATTTGCTGTATGACCTAGGGTAAGACCAACTCTCTGCCTTACCCATCACCAGCTAAAATATGTGGCTAATATCTTTGTTGTCTACTTCACAGTGTTGTCAAGGTGAAAATCATCTATTGGAAAATACTGTGTTAGTGTTGTCTGGAAATGTTGCTATTATAAGTAACAGTTAGTATGTACTAGTCATTGTGTTAAGCATTCATATTTTTCTTCTGAGAGTTTTATGACATAAGCAACATTAGTATTTAGCTTTTACAGGTCAAGAAAGTGAGGTTGAGAGTGTGTGGGAAACCTTGGTAGACAGGCAAAGTTTGAATCCAGGGCTCTCTGACAATAGAACCCATGCTGCTAATCATATCTCTCTCATTCATTCATCTGAATAATAATTGCTGCTTAACATTATATATGAACTAATAAAATATAATTATGTTTGTTATTATGCCTGAATTCTAAAATGTGAAATCAAAATACTACTTGTTTCATAAAAGTGGAATGTCAGAGGTTCTAACCTTTAAATGTATTCTTCTTACAGAGTTTAATTGTCCTGAACCCACTCACAGTGACTGAAGAGGAGATAAGGCCATCATTAGAAAAGCGCCTTGAAGCCATTATCAGTGGGGCTGCTCTGCTGGCGGACTCCTCATGCACAAGGGACTTCCACCGGGAGAGGATCATTGCAGAATGCAACGCCATTCGCCAGGCTCTTCAAGACTTGCTTTCAGAGTACATGAGCAACGTAAGTGACTTGTTTGTCCTGTCATCCCAAGGCATTTTAGCCTTGTACTTTGAATATATATGTAATGCTTTCTGTTACAAAGTATGATCAGTCACACATGAGTATGTGATTTTACATGAATTGTCTTTCTGAAGGGATTCTTCTTGGTTGTTCAGACTCAACAGTAAACCTATGAGTTTCTTGGAACAGAATTAGAACCAGATGAGTATTTACATAAGATTGTTTTGTTTGTAGAGTTATCTAAATATTAGTTGAAGAAGTGTGTCAGGCTTAGAAAAGAAATCTACAGTTGCACATTTATTTAGTTGATTAAAAGAAGATTAAAAAGTGGCAGGTTGCTCCGGGTTAAGTTGAATAAGAAAAAAACAATTAGAATTTAAATAGTATCAGGCAAAAGATCATGAGCTGTATTTGAAGATGTAAAGAGCTCATACCATTTGGGTAGCACTTACTCTTTCAAAAGTGATGCAGTGTCATAACTTTTGCAGTTTTAGATGTGGCTCAGAAACGCTGAAATGCTGTCTTAATTTTGGGGAAAACATTTGCTTCAAGGTCTTTTCTGTTTCATTTTATGTTCACATATCTCCATCTCTGCAGGGTCTATAACTTGTTGCCATCAAATCTTAGGTGTAATGAAATGAACAGAGTGAAGACACTGGTAGCTCTGCAGAAGTCGCCCCTTGTCTACAGTTTTGCTCCCGGTGGGGTCATTTACTCAAGGTTAACCATGGCCTGAAAACATTACACAGAAAATTTCAAAAATGATTCTTAAGTGTTAAATAACTTATCATAGGGCTTTTAAACAATTATTCTATTGCATTATTAGCTATTTATCTCTTAATGTGCCTAATTTATCAATTAATGTTCATCACAGGTTTGCATGTATAGGAACATGATGCCAAAACTTGGATTCTGTAGTACGTTTTCCAGTGTCCACTGGGGATCGTGAAATGTTCCTCACAGATAAGATGGGCATTTATATATTAATCATGAAGCCTTCTTAAATAATTCAACTATAGAGTTCTATTAGGAATATTTTGTTCGTGTATTTTAAGTAGAATAACTCAGGATTTATGAAGGTATGTTTTGAGAGTTATTAGTAAAAAAAATAGGATTTTTAGTTATAAAGTTGAAAATTTGGATTTTTTGACAGAAATTCTTTATGTGAACAACTCAGATGTGCTAAATTAGTTAATGAGTTTTGAGGGTCTTCTAACACATTTGATGTATCTTCATATTCTTAATATTTAATGACTTTGACTCCTGACCAACAATCTTTTGCCTGTGAAGAAATCAAACTTCTAAAGATTTTATTAATAAGAGCATATTAGTAATTTTATGTCCTGATAGAATATCTAAAACCAGAATATTCTCATCTTTAGCGTAAGATATTCTTAAAGACTTTTCAAAACAGTTCATCAGTAACAAGAAACTTGAGCAATAAAATTACATTAGTGATAGGATTTTTGGCACAGTAAAAGAGAATATAAAGTAAAATGGCCTTTATTCTAAGAACATGGAGAAAAACTCCATGACCACCAGGGGCCTGGCTTTCTCTGCTGGAAATGTGGTGTGTGTGTGGGGCATACATATAGTTTCCGACTGGGGTGGTGCTTCAGGGTGGCATTGCTGATGTACCAATAACTGATTGTGCCACAGGTAAATTGCATAGGGGTGGGGAAAGTGACCTCAAGGTAAACATCCCTTGGTCCCGCCTCCCACTTTTGTAATATCCTATCTACTTAGAATGCCTTTTCTCTTGATGTATAGATTACTGAAATAATTTCTGTCTTTATAGATAAAATATAGTAAAGTCATATAAACATTCAGCTTATCTATAAGTTATAGGTAAATTGACTTTATAAAATGTTATTTTATTCTTTACAGACACAAGTGCTGCCTGATGCAGGTATATATACTTACCCACACACATAAGTAGATATGGCTATTGAATTTCTGTGGCTGAATAGAAGCGAAAATGACAAACAGGATTCAACATTCAATCAGGAAAAAAATTCTCTCCCTTTCTTCCATTTCTCTTGACTTCTGTAAGATTATTTTTATTGCTACTTAATGTCAGAATTCATAGCATATGAGGGGTACTTGTGGAGTAAGGCAGACCCTCAAAGGCCTTTCTGGCCCTGCTCTGTGATTTGGACCCACTCTAGAGTTTGCCAAGGCCTCCCCTAGTAGGTGCTGGGTGTAAGAACAGGCATGTGAGGACCTAGTTTAGTAAGTCACCTAGAGGCAGGACTGAAGGTGAGCCTGGATGTATATATCCTTGTGCCCTTGGGTTATACAAATTCTAGAAAATTTGGGACTGTGACAGCAGAGCAGTAAAACCTAAGCATGGGGCCCTCCTTTATTTAAGCATGGAGGCCTGTGCATAGTGTAAATCTCTGGAGTTGACATTACGTATGATCATCATATATCACATAAAATAGTGGTGATTTTTATGTTTTTTCCAGGTGGAGTTAAAAACTGTGACGTGGTGAGATATTCAGTCTTGCATACAACCATTAAGAATGTGCACTGTTGTTAATAGAAATTTATAGACCGCAACAAAGAGTCAGTTTGCTTTTTCACTATTTTCATGTACTAGTCATTATAAACACCAGTGATAAACTAATGTTGTTTACAAATATTTTTGGTCTGTGTTCTAAACAATTGCTGTGATTGTTGTTGTTTTCACAGTATGTATGATTCAAATTAGAAGATATTAGAAAATATCCTTTAAGATACTTTTTTAAACGTACTTTTATATATATTCTTTGTGAGAAGATAAGATTCAAAAAGGCAATAATTACATACTGATTGTAGAACAAAGCACTAAAAATTGAGCTATTTCAATTCTGTTATTTGATGTGCTCATTTGGATTTTTTGAATTTAAAATTTTAATGAAATGCTGTGAATTGACAATGGTAATATTTTGTTAGGCAATTGCAAATTTAGCTCATACATGAGATATTTCATTGAATTTGAATAATAACTAAAATTTATTCTGTCTGTGAAAATTATTAATTACTTTACAGTTAAAGACCGTATCAAGAAAATAATGGTTATTACTACTCAGTAATGGAAAATGATCATGTTGAAGAGAGAGGAATTTAAAAAAATAATCTACTGCAGTTATCAAATATACTAAGTAAGCTACTGAAAATATAGATTATTTTTCTATTTCATATCACCCTTTTCCTTGACAAGGAAATCTGATTATGAGTTTTAGAACCCCTTTTCAAGTACACGGTATATGTTTTTAATGTCTTCTATTTGAAAGCTGTTTTTGAATAAGATAAAGTCTGCATTAGAATTAAGTAGAAGGAGACTTTTTATTTGTAGTATCAAATAAAAGAGAAAAAATAAGAATTTTTTTCTTTTTACTTTACCCAATAATTGTCTTAAATCTTATTTTTTTTATTTAAAGAGAAAAAAGGACATAAAAATACAAAGCAGTAAAAGGGTACAAGTAATACAGAATTTCAAGAAAAACATATACAGTAAGAAATCACTAGTTAATAGGTTACATATTGTCTTCTTAGAAACAGTTGTCCAAATTATAAAATTAAAGCATATAAAGTGGACATTCATACAGTAATACTGGAGACAGTTCCGATCAATGATCCAACAAAAGCTCAGTAATATGGTTTTCCGTCCTACACACTCAAACATACCTGTGGTTATAGCCCTTAGTCCACCTTCCTTTCCTCTCTTTTTTACAAAAACAATTACACTTTTTGGGTTTTATTACTCCCACAGTTCTTATTACTTTTTTTTGAAGAGAATAAAACCAACCGTGACTAAGCAAAACAGAGTCAGTTAGAACAGAAGTGTGGGCATAGTACATGGTGCAAAAATAGAATACCAGGTGATCAAAAGTGGTTACCATTGTGCCTCTTGTTATTTTTAAATTGAGTTGCCTATCAGGTATAATAGAATTGATCAAAACAGTACAGAACAAGATCAATAAAACCTACACTGGAGAACTTACAGGACTTCAAAAAAAAATTAATAGTCAAACCATAATGGGCATCATAGTAAATCTTATTGCCTTCAGAAGTGGTTGCCTATACCCTCAAACTTGATACTATCAAACAAAATAGAATATAGTAAAATCAGACAGAAGTTTCCCTAATGTAAGCAATGATTCAAATATATAAAAGTATGTGGTAATCATGATTCCCCATTATGTGGCCTTGAAGCCATATAAAGTTTTCACTTATTAATTGGAATGGCTTTATTCTGGGCTTCTTGATACGGAAATATTTGAAGCTATAGTATGTGAAGTTATATTCAAATATTTCAAGGAAAAAGACAGACACTATGGAAACTACTATTAAGTTGGGTTATTTGGTGGTGAAGCACTAGGTTGCTGAAACAGTCATGCTTTGACCTGTATTGTTATGTTGTTATGTCCTCTTTTATCTCAATCTATCCCTTATTCATTAAAAAATTATTTAGTTATTTTTTATGGTTTTTTTTAATTAAGGGGAAAAATTTAAAAAATTAGCAGGCTATATTATAGTAACTTTTTTTGATTTCCTATTATCTTGATTTGAAGTCCTGTAATACTCCTATTATCTTGTTTTGACTGATTAGACTCTGTTCCGTTCTGTATGATAGTATCAAGTTTGAGGGTATAGGCAACTACTTTGAAGGCAATAAGATTCACTAAGATGCCCATTCTGGTTTAACTATTGTCCTGTAATGTTTACAATGTTTAAGTTTTATTGGTCTTGTTCTCTACTGTTTTGTTCAACTTTATAATACCCAATGAGATAGACAATTCTTTTTAAGGAAGCAAGAGGCACTATGGTAACCATTGTTGATAACCTTGTACTCTGTTTTTTACATCATGTACTATATCTATCCTTGTTTTTGACTGACAGCTTTGTTTTGCCATATTTGACTTTATTCTCTTCCAAAAAAAAAAAAAAAGTAATAAGAACTAAGGAGTAGTAAAACCCAAAATATGTAAATTTTGTTGTAAAAAAGAGAGGGA